CACCCTGCCCAGGGGTCGGATCATTTATCCCTCGGCCGGAAAGTGGGGACGACGCGACCATGGTGGGGACCAATAGTTGGTGGGGGTATGCAGTGATTTTCACGGTAGCGCTGCGGAGAGCTTCGCGAACGCGAATGAGCACGCATGAGGGGAATAGTAGTGGGGATCGAAATACGGGCGAAAAACAGGGGAAGCGAGCGTCGAGGGATAAATGATCCGACCCCTGGTCGTATGCCGTATCTCATCATGCGTATCTCATGTATCCGTCATGCATCAATGCATTCGACTACGCGTAGTGCTATTTTCTTCGCCTGGCACGCGGGACGGGACGCCCGCATACAGTGTGTGCGTCAGAATCCGGCTTTGTATGATGCTTTATTGCCGTAATACAAAAACGCGAAGTTGAGGCGGAGCTTGTGAATTAAGATAGGAGAACAATTGAATATGAATGGGAAGTTACGGTTCTCGTGCATTTTTACGTAAGCTTGTGTATGGATAAATAATAATGTAAGTAGTATGCTTGTGAGAAGAAAGAGTACCGTCGACGTTTAGCGTTATCCGATGTGCACCACGAGGAGGTTGTCAATCGAATTTTGCACATCGTATCTGTGTGTGCATGTGCGAGCGTGTGTCCCAACAACTAGCCGCATATCTGCAAAGAAAAATAGATAAATTCAATTAGTATATTGGTTTTCGTTGTCCATTTCAGGTTCCGATGGTTGCACATTAGAAATTGGAAAAGGACGTCACAACGAACAGACAAGCGGGAGCTGAATCCACAAATTTAAATATAAGGCAATTTTCCATTTATAACCTTAAAGGTCTAGCCCCACTGACGACACGACGACAGTTTGGGTTTTTTGATGTTGTTGGGGCGGCCGAGCCAGTACCGTAGCCTTTACAATTGAGAGTATAGGGAAAAGTGTGTAAAAGCAGAAGGGCGAAGAATACATTCTAGTTGAAGAGCGTCTTTGTCTTTTTTCATTTTAGGCGCGTTAGCAAAATGTATGATGTCAGCGGTTGAGGCACTTCTTTTTGGCGTCTCGAGAAATAGCGCATAACTTGGACGCCTTTAGTTATTTTTGTATGCAAAAATTATTTTACACAGTTCATTTATAGGCAAATACATCCATAAGGTTTAAAAACATTCGGTGGAATACTTTCTTTAAAAAAAATTCCCCCAAAAAACACTTATTTGAGCCGTAACATTGGTATATTCCCTTAAATAATTGTTATACTAGTTGGATTATTAATTATTATAAACGAGCGAAGTAAGATATCTTGATGAGACTTGACAGACATAACAGCTGTATAGTTGCTCGCGGTATAAATCTGTAAAATAAGGTGTAGTCCGCTCGGCCTCGGTAAAAAAGAGAAAGGTGGCGCTCTCCTCTGTAACATAGAAAACAAAGTAAAACATTTAAAGCCTCGTTCAGAGTGAGGAGACAATTGCCTTGAACGAGGCTTAACTCGGCACTGGATTTTCCTAACAAAACATGCTATATTTAAGAAACGAATTATAATACGGCTATAAAGTATATTTAAAATTATATTTATTACTCAAGTCTTTTAAA